ATCGTTATACTCAGCAGATGTAGCTGAACACAATATGTTCCTGTGCAGGAATAGCACACACCAGCTTTACGAAATACACATCACAAAAACCTTGTTATATGTGTATATGGCAAAATAGATTTAAAAAACCCCATAATTTTACTCCAATATTTAGAAGAGATTGGCGATGAAATGGTTACATAAAAAGTGTTGAATTAACCTTAGTTAAATAGCCTGTGATGTCTACTTTATATAAATATATACTTTTGTGTGGCAATTTTGTTTCCTGTGGTGGCTACTAAACCTACAAGACAAACATACCAAATTCTAAAATTGTTTAACATTAAAATTTTATTTTAGGAGGGGGCCTAACTAGCAAGCAGACAGGACGTGCCCTGCATGAGCTCCTGCTACTTGGACTCAAAATACACTGATTTCTCGGGCTGCAGAGATACCATTCTCCCAAGACTAAGCTGACTGAACTGGGGAAGCCTGCACGAACCCAGCAACACCACACATGAAGTCCGGAATGACCTCAAACCACAGCAGCATGTTGAGGCCTATTTCAGGAGGTGAGGGGGAAAGACGGCCGCTTTCCCGCCCAACACCGACATTCTCATGGAGGCACAAAACACTTCCCCTCCCCCCTATGGACTGGTGGGGGATATCCTGGTCCCCGCCAGACGAAGTGCTTCATGCCTGGACCAGCGAATTACACAAGCAACTTGGGCACAGGAGCTTCCAAGATGGCGGACGCACTGGACACTGCTCAATGGGCCATGCGGCAGCAACAGCCCACCCTGTCAGGCATGAACGATGCCATCAAAGACACCATTGGCGATATCTTCGACTGTTTCTGGGCAAAGCTGCTAGCGCGCATACATCGACTACCCACGCGCCACCAGCACGGGACACAGCCCATGGCGAGAGGAAGCCGGGGAAACTTTTTCAGGGCACACTACTGATCTACGGATTCCAGCACTAATGGCCCTTCCGGGCAGAGAGCAACAGGGGGTGCACCCCACAGGTGCCAGTCAAACCTATGATTAAGGCCCGCCGCAACATCTCGACAGGGATGACCCTGGGCCGCAAGGGAACCCGGGCTCGTGGCAAGCAGGCACCAGCTCTCCTACAGTCCAGGGGCAGAAGAGTAGACCTGCCTCCAATACACCATGAGGCCCCCCCCAGAGAGCGCCAGAGCTCATGGCTCGCTGCAGCTGCATGTCACAAAACACCAGGGATGGAGGAGTTGTTTGCCTCGCTCACACAGCGGCACGAAGTACCCGGGCAGACCAACAACGGGTATTGGATGAAGCCCTGACCACTGGTAACCTGCCCATACTGGACTGAAACCCTGTGACCACAAAGGCCACCAATTTGGGACTCATTAAGCGGACTACGATGACCTGCGGTTTCCTAGTTTGTTTTATTTTATCTTAGTTTAATTTCTTATAATGTGTTTAATGGACTGATTGCTGTTCCAGGGAAACCCTGCTTTACGCTATATGTTCTATATGTCTGTTAACCAAGAAATGACAGTTAACTATTCCCAGACAGGCATATCTGTTACACAACCCACACGCAGCACTTATTTCAGCACAGTGTCTCTACTACACACCTCTTGGGTTTTGCCTCAATTTAATTGCATGCTGGGCAGAAAACTCATGTTCTGTTATGGCCCCACCTATATTATCTCGTCAAGACCCTAAATGCCAGAGCCAACACGGCACTTAACACACTCACCACAGCAGGTCCTACACCAAGATTGTCGATCCACTTACCTAATCAGCTTGTTCTGGCCCGAACAAGCTGTTAAATATTACATAAAATTGTGTACAATTACTTTAATACCTCAACTGTATAGCATACTCTGTTGCATGAGGATTGCCGTCGGGGTACCTCAGGCTTGCATGTACCTATCTTATGCACATCAAAAATACATACATATTTTGTGACCTGTAACTTTCAAAATAAGCTGAAATGCTATACATATTATGTACTCTATAAATCAAGACACATAACTTAATTTATTTTGAATTACCTTTTCTAAGCTGGACATATTATGCACATGCTATATTACTGCCAAAGCTAAAAAAAAAAATTTGTTTTTTTTTCTTTCCCCATTTTTTTGGCATTTTATTGTTAGAAGTAATGAGAATTTATCTATGTATATGTGACATAAAATTAAAGCCCTGTTTGCCCTCTGAAAAACAGTATATAATATGTGTTGGTGCAATAAATGACAGAGATGCAAATTGCATTTGAACACAAACAGCAAAAAATGCAAAAATGGCTTGTGTCTTTAAGGGTAAGACAAGCTTTTGAAGCTGTGTCCTTAACGGGTTAAATTATTATGAATTATTCAGTAACTTTGACTAGCCAACATGAAACCTGTATTGCAAAACAGACTAAATAACTGATCTTATTCAGAGCTGTAGTGAACAAATCTGTAATATATTGAACCCCGAGGACTGTTTAATACTAAATCAGTAGCATTTGAAAATACCTGCTTCTTGGAATTTTTTTTACATATATTTACCTTGTGTTGTACTTGTTCTTTTAAATTAATCACATTGAGAAAACAAAATATAGGTCAGCGAACTCTAGATGAAACTCCAAAAATATTCCCTGTGTAAGCATACCACATTGTAATTCATCTTTTTAAAGTAATCATTTTTTTTTCAGTTATTTGGACTATATCTTTGAGATAAATGGAATGCACATACAAGACAAAACTCTAAATATATTAAGACTCCAAATAACTATGTCTGTAATATACATTTGCTAAATTCATTGTCATCAGTACTTATGCTAGTTTAACAGTGTTATAAATCCAGCCCCACATTCAATGCATTGCCTATTTCACTTACCATCTCCAATAAACAGGATTAGATTCTTGGCTCGTTCAGTGATAGGTTCAAGATTCAGAGCCGTATTCAAAGTATGTTTTGCCTGATCATTCCAAAACTGCTTGGTTTTCTCAGCCTCTGAAATTTAACACATATGCTGTTAATGAGCATACGTATACAGACATTGTGTATATAGGGCTCGAGTTAACCACTAAGAAAAACAATCTGAGGATATTAGTAAATGTAGAAGATAATCAGATCTGTATCTTAATAGAGGTGGATCTTAAATGATCCCAACATCGGTTGTAGTTTTGTTAAATATTACATTTTACTTTTCATGTATATCCAAGGATCTTTCTATATTTTATTAATCAGTCATCACTTAGTACTCTAAACACTAGCACTTTCATGCTATGAATATATAAATATATATATATATATATATATATATATATAGTTTTGAACTTTATGAACTGATGGTCACATAAAACAAATTAGACACAATAGAAATTATATTTTAAAAATGTAATTGGGAATGATCAAGTGCCAACCCTATACAACAACACAACAAAATAAGATGATAGTGAATAACTTTGTTGATAAATAATGCTAATTTTAGCAATTTTGAAGAAACAATCAAGATTCATACTATGACATAAAAGCATACCTAAAGAAAGAAATGTTGCTCCTACGAGTGTCTTAGGAAAAAAGACAAAGCTTAAAAGTGGGATTAAAGTGACCCTTGCAACTTTCCACTTCATCTTTTCCGGCTACTCCAGCACCTGCTGAGAACTTTTGCTCTTTTTTAACTACAGATTTATATATACAGTTGCATATCATGTGTACATCCCTTTCTTTCGTACCTTTGTACCAGGTTTTACAAAGTCATAATACTCTCCTTTATCTTTCACACAAGTTCAAACTTCAGAATAATAGTTATTCTACCATATAGATGGCAAGAGTGTCATTTGCTTTTTAAATGTTATCTATCCATTGTATAAGACTGAATTGTAGAATTATATTTGGAAGTACATTAACATATGTTGTCGAGAACAACAAAAAATGGTTAATATTGGAGAAACAAAGCATGATCTACTTCTTTCCTCAAGCATTTTGAATTATGTCCTTCATTTCTCAACGATAAAGCTCTCATCTACCAGCATAGAAACATAGAGACATAGAATGTGACGGCAGATAAGAACCATTCGGCCCATCTAGTCTGCCCAATTTTCTAAATACTTTCATTAGTCCCTGGCCTTATCTTATAGTTAGGATAGCCTTATGCATCCCCGTTTTTTCCAAAGATCTCCTTCACTCTCCAATGTCTACCCCACCATCTCCAACAGATATCGTGACCCCTGCATAGACATGGTGTAGTATCAGTAAATTATAGTTTGGTACCTGAATCTTTGAACAAATAAAGCTTTGATGAGAAAGCCTGAACTTTTTTTCCCATTGGTTCTCACTGGGAACCATCCCCACTTCGGTCTCCAACTTAGAATCAAACCTGGGAGGCAATTGCATTGTAGAGGTCAAAATCTTTGTAAAACCTTGGATCGGGTGAGAGCCGTGAGAACAAATGATCTCAAACCAAGAGAGTCTCTGTGAATTTTGATTTTGCCTTGGCATTTTGGGTAATATTGTTATATCTGGAAATATCAGTATCTCTCAAGATCTGTAGGACGACGTTCTAGTATCAGTTCAGGTAATGGCTGAGGGTTTGCAAATTGTATATCTGCTGCATGTATATCCAAATCACCCAGATTAAACCCCCTAATGTGAGTAGCCCACCCGCCATCTCCAGTTTGTGTGTAAGTTATCAGTTGATATTTACACCTATTTGCATGCCACACTTCTAGTGTGGATCCTTTTAGTGGTGTCAAGGGACTAGGGTAATTTGTCAGTTGATTTCTACACCGATTTCTTTCCCATGCCAATCTACAATCCAAAGGAGATGAGATGCTTGGTAAATGTCAATAGACAAGGTAGTCCGATCCCACCCAGTCGCTTCGGGTGTATGAGATACACTTGTTTCTCTGTTCCCCTCCCCCCAACTTTCACACATACCAAAAAAGTGACGTGTTAAATTATTGAAAATGGATTTTGGAGTATTTTATTGTGAGGCTGCACCTTTTCTGTGGAACTCCCTTCCCTTCTCCGTAAGAATTTCACCCAGTCTCCACTCATTCAAAAATCATTGAAAACTCACTTCTTCAAGAAAGCATATCAATTATACTGTTAGCAGGTTTTTATCCCCTACCCCCATGACTCCTCTCCTGCAACTGTCAAAAATTACCTACTAAGCCCTCAATGAATACTTTTCTAACAACCTACTTCGGACCCCTAATTTTACCCTTTGTGTCACTATACCCCACTCCCTCAAGAATGTAAGCTCATTGAGCAGGACCCTCCACCTCTCTGTCCCTGTAGTCCAGTTGTCTGGTTAAAATGACATGTCTGTTAGTCCACCCAATGTACAGCGCTACGGAATGTGATGGCACTATATAAATAATACAATTATAATAATAATTTGGGTGTTTATTACTAAAATTGAGGGATGGAAAATAAAACCTGTGGGTCGGGGTGTCAGTCTGTCTGTGGAGGGGGTGGGGGGGTCAGTCTGTGTATGTATGAGTCAGTCTATGTGTGTGGGGGAAAGTGTTTCAGTCTGTGTGTCAGTCTGTCTGTGGAGGTTCAATCTGTGTGTTTGTGGGAGGGTCAGTCTGTGTGTGGGGGAAGGGGTAGTGCGTGGGGGGGTCTGTCTGTGGGTGAACATTCTGTGTGTGTGTGGGGGGAACAGTCTGTGTGTGTATGGGGGCAGCATGTGTGTGTCTGTCTGTGGGGAGGTCAGTCTGTGTGTGTGTGGGGGAAGGGTCTGTGTGTTGGAACAGTCTATGTGTGGGGAGAACAGTTTCAGTCTGTGTGTGTATGGGGCAGCGCGGTGTGTGGTCTGTCTGTGGGGGTCCTGTGTGGGGGGGAGAAGGGTCAGTCTTTGTGTTGGAACAGTCTATGTGTGGGGGGAGTTAGTGTGTGTGTGTGGGGGGTCAGTCTGTTTGTGGGTGAACATTCTCTGTGTGTGTGTGGGGGAACAGTCTGTGTGTGGAGGGAGTTTTAGTCTGTGTGTGGAGGGGGGGTCAGTCTGAGTGTGGGGGTCAGTCTGTGTGGAAGTCCGTATGTGTATGGGCCAGTCTGTGTGGGATGGCAGTCTGCGTGTGTATGGGTCAGTCTATGTGTGTGGCGGGGGGTGGGGGTCAGTCTGTGTAAGTGCCTAAGTTCCAAGAGAGAGATGTCTCATCTCATGACCTCCCCTGTACCTGATGGATTGGCAGGCTTCTTAATAACCCCAGAGCTGATTCTGCCACCTGCTCCCTGCAAAGTAAGATCAGTTAAAGGGGAATATTATTTTTTTAAACTCTTATTAAACCGTTAACGCCGTTACGGTGTGGTATGCCGTCCTGGCGTTAATGGGCTTAAACGCCTTTACGGCGGCATAGCACGCCGTGGCGTTTAAGCCCACCCACGTTTCTCCGATCCCTCCCAAACTGCAGATCACGGTGGGGGGACCTGCCTGGCAACCCAGGCAGGTCATCTGTGGCCAATCCGTAGTGATCTGCAGTTTGTGATCCCAGTGACAGCCAGTCACTGCGATCACGGTTACAATGTGTCAGCCAATGATTTTAGATCACTGGCTGACACATTGTCTCTGCCCCTCTCCTCACCTCACTTTGATCTGAGACAGAGAGGCAGAGAGATCGTTGCTGGAGAGCCCTGTAGGAGAAAGAATTGTCAAAAATAAAGAAAAAGTAAAAAAAAAAGTAATGTTTTAACCCTTCCAGTGCTGGTCACAACATTTAACACACCAGTCTGTTAAGGGATTTTAGTACATTTGTACTATTATTATTATTATTTTTTTTAGGGTCAAAAAATATATATATATTTTTTTGACCCTTTGTCAGCCGCAGCAACCCAAATCTCCCATAACCCTTTCCCTGCTGCCGTGTTCACTGTACTGTACAGTATCGCTACTGTACGGTATTGTACCAGTGACCACTGTGATCAGAGGGCTCTTTGATCAGCCTGAATTTTTTTATTAAAAAAACAAAAAATAAAATAAAAGTTAACCCTTTCAGTACTGGTCGCAGCAGCCTAAACTGCGATCAGTACATTTATTTTATTTTTTGTGGGTTTTTGAGGGTGGGTAGTAGGGTGTTAGGCAGGTAGGAATTTTGTAATTTCCCCCTTAGATTTTTTTGATTAATTTTGAGTAGTCCCCCCTAGAATGGCATGTTGCTACTCGGCCGAGGAGGCGTACGCCATTTTGGCAGGCAGTGATAGTGACACTCTCCAAGACAGTGACACTATCACTGCCTCTGACATTGAGGCTATGACTGACTCCTCTAGTGATGGTGCCCCACCACCACCAACAAGAGGACGCTCAGCAAGCCCAATGTCAGATGGAGACTGGTTGCCCCCAAACCGGACAGCCCCAGATATTCCCCCATTTACGGCGACCCCTGGCATCACTGTTATGGTGGATGCTTGGGAGCCCCTAAAATATTTTCAGAGGAAGTATTTCAGTTACTGGTTGAGCAGACCAATTTATTTGCCAACCAATATCTGACTGAGAATCCGGGGTCACATTACAATCGGCGTAATATGTGGCAGCCCACGGATCTCACAGAAATGCGCAAATTTTGGGCCCTAGTTATTGTGCATTGTCAAAAAGCAGAGTATCAGGTCCTACTGGTACAAGCACCCCATCCTGGCTACCCCTCTTTTCCCTGGGGTTATGAAGAGGGATCGCTATGAGCAGCTGCTGCGTTTCCTCCACTTCAACGATAACACACTGTGTCCCCCAAGAAACGACCCATTGTTTGACAGGCTGTACAAAATTTGGCCCCTAATTGAACTCCTGTCAGACAAATTCTCCCAAAATTATGTCTCTGAAGAAAATATTTGTATAGATGAGTCCTTAATGACGTTTAAGGGTAGATTACTTTTTAAGCAGTATATCCCTTCTAAACGGTGTAAAATTTTACAAATTGTGTGAATCCAAATCTGGATATACATGGGCATTTCGTATTTATCAGGGGAAGGATAGCCATCTTGACCCACCAGGATGCCCTGATTCTGTGGGTACATGTGGCAAGATAGTATGGGACCTAATCCTTCCCTTGATAAATAAGGGATACAGGCTATGGGTTGACAACTATTACACAAGCATAGAGTTATTTAAAGCTCTATTTTGCTTTGAGACCGTAGCCTGTGGCACAGTGCATAAGAATCGTAGAGGTTTCCCCCAAACCCTGGCAAGAGGTAGACGCAGTAGAGGCTCCCTTTCAGCGCTCCGCCAGGATGAGTTGCTTGCCCTTCGCTTCACCGATAGGAAAGATGTGTACATGTCTACAATGCACGACGAAACTTCAGTGCCAGTGTCTGTGAGAGCTGGAACTGAGCAGCTGGAGAAACCGAAGTGCATTGTATACTACAGCAATTTTATGGGTGGAGTAGACTTGGCTGATCAGTGCATACAGCCCTATTTGGTGAACCGGAAGAGTAGGACCTGGTACAAGAAAATAGCAATCTACATAACCCAGATTGCAATTTTCAATGCCTATGTGCTTTATAAAAAGGAAGCCATAGGTAGACCATGCCCATTTCTAGAGTTTATGGTCCAAATTTTGTCTCAAATTATATTTGCCCAGACCCCAAATCCTAAACCTCCTTTGGAATCAGAAGATGTCCAATGACTTTTCAGCAAACATTTCCCTTCCCGAATCCCCCACACACCCTGTAAAAGGTCACCCCAACGAAAATGCAGTGTTTGCTGGAAAAGAGGAGTCCGAAAGGACTCCAGTTATTATTGCCCCTCCTGTCCATCCCTACCCGCCCTCTGCATAACAGACTGTTTCAAAGTCTACCATACAGAGCTGAACTACTAAATCACTCTGTATGGTACTTTGGCAGTTTGTTTGCTTGATTTCCCTCGATTCCCTGACCTCGGCTTGTCCTGACTACGCTTCGTTAGCTGCCTGTACCGATCCATTGGCTTGTTTTACTGACTACTCTGACTTCTGAATTCCCCTGCTTGGCCTGTCCCTGTTTATGCTAGCCATTCTAAAGTGGCTACACCAAACAACTCAGAATACTACATTTCTAGTACTTGAAATGTGCCTTCACAAAAAAAGCAAAAAACTAATCACAGGGTTAATGCTACAGTATCTGAGTCAAAGATCTATCTGCCTCTCTCTACCTTTAGATCAAAGTGTATGTGGGGGCACTGTACTATTCCTGTGATATACTAAAAACCTGGAAACATTGTACATGTAGGTATCGTTATATTCAGAAGGCAGTGTTAAATCAAAATACTGATGTTTTAGTGCACTTATACCAGGATTATGACATTTCTAGTGAAAAAGCAATTTATGTGATTAAAAAGACAAAAATAAAAGTAGAAATTGCTACATGGGCCCATCATTTCTGTTAAAATGGCTAGACCAAACATCTCAAGGTCTGCCATTTGTTGTACTCTGGGTTGTCTACTTTTGAAAATGGTATGCCATAACGGTGGAAATGTTATTACCCAGGCTGCCATGCTCTCTGAAAAGCCACATAGGCCCAGAAAATCACTTTGTCAAACTTACAAGCTATTATATATATGTTATATTCAGGAGACAATGTTCAAAAAAAAAGTGAGGCTTTGTTGCAATAACTCATACCAGGAATAGGAAAGGTCCTGTGAAAAGTGAGTTCATGTGTGGGAAAAAAGCACAAATTAAACTATTAACGCTATGTGGGCCCTTTATTTCTGATAAAGTGGTTAGATCAAACATCTTAAAATGCACCATTTAAAATACTCTGGGTTGCCTACTTTTGAAAATGGTATGCCATAATAGTGGAAATGTTATTACCCAGGTTGCCAGGCTCTCTCAAAGGCAAGATAGGCTCAGAAAATCGCTTTACCAATTTTCAATGTGTAAAACCAAAAAATTAACAAGCGTATATTTGACCCTGTAACTTTCCAAAACCCCATAAAACATATACAATGGGGGGGGCGGCGGGGGGGTGGTACCATGGCGCTCGTGAGACATCACGGAACAGAACTAGGAGTGTTTCAGGGCAGTAAACTATATACTGACAATAATATTATCAGTAAAAGTACAGTTTTTCGGTGAAAAATGCAAAAAAACAAAACAAAATATGAACACTAACTTTGGGTAGCATTTGTGCCAAAGTGACTACTACAAAAGACTGGCCATACCCTATTTTGAATACCTTGGGATGTCTACTTTTTCAAGTGGTATGCCATTAAGGGGTAATTTTCATTTCTTGGCTGCCATACGCCCTCAAAGGCAGCCTAGGCACAGCAAACTAATCTGACAAATTTCATGGTGAAAAAGCATAAAGGGATAAGCCATATGTATGGCACTGTAACTTTCAAAAAAACCAATAAAACCTATACATGGTGGGTACCGTGGTGCTCGTGAGACATCACTGAACAGAACTAGGAGTGTTTCAGGGCAGTAAACTGTATACTGACAATAATATCAGTAAAAGTACAGTTATGTGAAAAATGCAACAAAAAAAAACAACAAAAAAATGAGCACTAACTTTGGCTAGCATTTGTGCCCAAGTGGCTACTACAAAAGACTGGCCATACCCCATTTTGAATACCCTGGGATGTCTACTTTTTCAAATGGTATGCCATTAAGGGGTAATTTTCATTTCTTGGCTGCCAAACGGTCTCAAAGGCAGCCTAGACACAGCAAACTAATCTGACAAATTTAATTGTGAAAAAGCATAAATGAATAAGCCGTATATATGACCCTGTAACTTTAAAAAAAAACATAAAACCTATACATGGGGAGTGCTGTGGCGCTTGTGAGACATCACTGAATAGAACTAGGAGTGTTTCAGGGCAGTAAACTATATACTGACAATAATATTATCAGTAAAAGTACAGTTTTAATGTGAAAAATGCAAAAAAAACTTTGGCTAGCATTTGTGCCCAAGTGGCTACTACAAAAGACTGGCGATACCCCATTTTGAATACCCTGGAATGTCTACTTTTTCAAATGGTATGCCATGATGGGGTAACTTACATTTCTTGGCTGCCATACAGTCTCAAAGGCAAACCTAGGCCCAGCAAACCAATCTGTGAAATTTCTATGTAAATAAATAAATAAATAGACAAGACGTATATTTGACCATGTAACTTTCCAAAACACCAAAAAAACCTATACATGGGGTTACTGTTTTACCCATGGGACATTTCTGAATACAAATATGTATGTTTTATTGCAGTAAAACCAAACAGTATTGTGTCATTATCAGTTAAATTGACATGCAGAAATTGAAAAATATCAAAATTTCTTAATTTTTTTAAACTTTTTTAGATTTTATAAAATGGAGTTCTATATATGAATGTTTGATATGGAATGAAAGCCCTGTTTCCCCTGAACAAACCGATATATAATAAGTGTGGGTGCATTTAATATGAAAGAGGTAAATTATAGTTGAACAGACAGAGACAAATTCTGTGGTTTGTTTACATTTTGTTTTGATCACAACTTGGCATTTGGCTCCGTCCTTAACAGCGTTCTATGCCATCCCACATTAAATGGGCTTTAAAGCCGTTGCGGCGGCATAGAGCGCTGTAACGGCTTGCAGCCCCTGGAGATCGGAGGTACTTACCTCCGCCGCGATCCTCTTCTGGAGGGCTGCCTGACGGGCTGTCAGGCAGCCCTCCAGAAGAGGATCGCGGCTCTTTGAGAGCATGGCCCCCGGGGGCCTCATTTGCTGGGGGAGGGCTGCCTGGGCTATGGGCTAGGCAGACCTCCCCCGGCAAATGAGACCCCCGGGGGCCATGCTCTCAAAGAGCAATCACATGGCCCCCTATAGCTGGCTGTGGATCTGCCAGCAGGGGGACTGTCTGAAATGTCAGACAGTCCCCCTGCTGGTGGGTAGTGTAAAAAAACAGGTTTTAAAATAAATTAAATGTATTTATATATAAATATATATATTATAGATATAATAAATATACATCTTATATATATGTAACGTCATACGTAATGTATTTTAATATTAATATAAGTACATATATTAGTATTAAAATACACTTAGAATGACGTTATATATATATATAAGATATATATATATATATATATATAATACATCTATATATATTTTATATTTACACATATAATTACAATAAATAAAATAAAATATTTAAAAAAATTAAATTATATATACATACGTAATCTCATTCTAACTGTATTTTGTTTATATATATATATATATATATGTAACAAAATACACTTAGAATGACATTCTATATCTATCTATATATAAAATACAAATAACCGCAAATATATATATATATATATAATACACAAGATCCAGCGCACTCACCTATCCACTAAACAGCAACTTCAATGTTGAAAGATTTTATTTATTTATTTTATTATTTTTTTTAAAAACGCCTAATCTAGGCAAAAATAATGGGGGTTTAGTTACATTATATGATCATACATTGCATAAGCCTGCCACAACGTCAATGTACCCCATCTTTGGCAGGTCCTACACCAAATAATACAATACACAAGATCCAGCGCACTCACCTATCCACTAAACAGCAACTTCAATGTTGAAAGATTTTATTTGTTTTTTTTTTAAAAACACCTAATCTAGGCAAAAATAATGAGGGTTTAGTTACATTATATGATCATACATTGCATAAGCCTGCCACAACGTCAATGTACCCCATTTATGCATGTTAAAAGGGAAAGCAGCCAACCCCCTCTTGTTTTATATATATATATATTTGGGAGTCTAGCCAACTCCTTGGTT